CTCAGCCTCGCCAGGAACTCAGGAACGCGGAGAGACTTTTTTTACAGGTCATGCACAAGACAGATGATGATGATGGAACATTAGTTTGAAGTGCTTATCCTATGAAAACAGTCAGCATTTTCAAGCTAGGGGAATCTGCTGCCAAGGAAAGCCATCCAATCTTTTGTGTTATTGTGACTCAACAGGTGGAACTTAATTAAAATCCTGGAATGTGGACCCAGCGATTACCCAGAGAAGTCTCAACAATCCACCGTCAAGGACTTATCTCTAATCTTTTGAATCAAGCCCAACCCCTGACTTCATCCAAGTAGTATTCTGGTTGACAACACTGAAGTACGTTTACTCATGTGATCCTCTGCAGCGTTTCTCCAACTTCCCAGTCTAGCCTATAGCTCTGCTGGTCTTTGATTTAAGTATCAACCAAGGCTGCTCTGGTTCAGCTTTTCAAGGGCATCTCTTGTATCCTGCTGTTTAAGCAAATAAAAAGTCAGGAGCATTGGGGGGGGGAACCCTCCAACTTTACATATTATCCTGATACGAACTGAGCTGTCTATAACTAGGCAGAAAAAAATGTCCATAGGCATTTAGGCAAGAAAAACCAAATGTACAGGTATAGTATAGGGAGTACCTTGCTCAACAGTAGTAACTGTCAGAGGGATCTTGGAGTCCTAGTGGACAATCCCTTAAATAGGAGCCAGCCGTGTGCTGCAGCTGCCAAAAAGGCCAACACAGTGCTAGGCTGCATTAACAGAGGGATAGAATCAGGATCACGTGAAGTATTAATACCACTTTACAAGGCCTTAGTAAGGCCACACTTGGAATACTGCATCCAGTTTTGGTCACCACAATGTAAAAAGGATGTTGACACTCTAGAAAGAGTGCAGAGAAGAGCAACAAAGATGATTAGGGGAGTGGAGGCTAAAGCATATAAGGAACGGTTGCTGGAATTGGGAATGTCTAGTCTAACGAAGAGAAGGACGAGGGGGGACAGGATAGGAGTGTTCCAGTATCTCAGGGGCTGCCCCAAAGAAGAGGGAGTCAGGCTATTCTCCAAAGCACCTGAAGGCAGGACAAGAAGCAACGGATGGAAACTCATCAAGGAGAGAAGCAACCTGGAACTAAGGAGAAACTTCCTGACAGTGAGAACAATTAACCAGTGGAACAACCTGCCTCCAGAAGCGGTGAATGCTCCAACACTGGAAGTTTTTAAGAAGAGACTGGACAGCCATTTGTCCGAAATGGTATAGGGTTTCCTACTTGAGCAGGGGGTTGGACTAGATGACCTCCAAGGTCCCTTCCAACTACTACTACTGATGATGATGATGATGATGATGATGATGATGATGATGGAGTTGACCCCCATCAACACTGCATGTATGGATTTTCCAAAAGCTTTGACCTATCGTTTTAAGAATTGCTAACTGGTTAAAAAAAAAAGTCCAAAAAGCAAGCTACTTAGAGCAACAGTCTTCCTATAATGATGTACGAGTGTGAAGAGTTGGACACTAAGAATGGCTGATCGAAGAATTGACGCCTTTGAACTGTGGTGCTGGCGTCAATTATTGTGTATACCATGGATAGGACAAAACAACCATCAGAGAGGTGTTAAATTGAATAAAACCATCGTTGGAAGCTAAAATCATCTGATTTCCTTTGGCCATATCAAGTGTGCAAAGTCATTGGAGGAGTCAATGATGCTAGGAAGGGAGAGTGGAACAAGAAGAAGGGGCAGGCAAAGAACAGGCTGCCTTGATGCCATCACAGCTGATACAAAGATACAACATGCAACAACTAAAAGAAGCTGTACTTGAAGGTAGCACGGAGAGGCTTGCCTGTAAAATCCCCAAGAGTTGGACACAGCTGAATGGTTAAAGCTAACCAATTGGTTAAAAACAGAAAAGAAAGAGTAGGAATAAAGGGGACATTTTCTTATGGGGGGGGGTCGGGAAATAACAGAGTTCCTTGTTTTCATTTTAGTGAGTTCATAAATGTTGTCATAAACAGAAAAAGATGTAGAGTAATTAAAAAGGTCCAACGTCAATCAGCGTAGTAGTGTCACGCTGCCATCCTGAACTATGACCCCTTGATGCCCCGTGGACTTCAACTTTCAGAATGTCTGAGCCAGCCAGGAATTCTGGGAGTTGAAGTCCACATGCCTTAAAATTGTCAAGGTTGAGAAACACTGATTTATAGCCTTGGGCAGGGGTAGGCAACCTGGGCTCTTTTATGACGCGTGGACTTCAACTCCCAGAATTCCTGAGCCAGCCATGCTGAGGGGAAAGGGAGAGGTTTCCAAGCTGAGCCATGGCTGGCTCAGGAATTCTGGGAGTTGAAGTCCACCAGTCATCAAAGGGCCAAGTTTGAAGACCCCACTCTACCGACAAAAGCCTTCTGGCTGGAAGCACAGCTGCAACCCTAGCCTGGAAAAGGCTGCCTTACTTTGCTCCGAGGTGTCAATCAAGAGTAGCCAGGAATTCTGGGTACTGTAGTCGTCACGTATCTAAAAGGGCAGCAGGTTGGGAAGAGCTGAGCTACCACCTGCTGACCAGTTGAAGCTAACCATAATGCAGAAATCTCCCCCCCCAGGCATAGAATGGCACGTCTGATCAATCCACACATAACTAGACAAACCGCGCCCTTCCTTTGCCGCTGTTGTGCTGCATCAAGCATGCACACACACATTTGTTCTCTACGCCTCGTGTGCGCCCGGAGGAGAAACAGCAACTAGAAGGTCCAAATTCCTGCAGAACTGACTCTTCCTGCAATGTTTAAGACAGGGCTTTTCAACCTTTCCACCCATTGAACCACTTTTAGGATATGGCAATATCCGAGTACCACCAGTCGCCTAGCAAGGGGTCAAAAACTTGATGACCCCCCCCCAAAAAAGGGAAAAAAGTGATAAAGTACAGGTAGTCCTTGACTTACAACAGTTCGCTTAGTGACTGTTTGAAGTTACAATGGCACTGAAAAAAGTGCCCCCCGAGCCACAGCCGAGCAAGACACCTGCCTGCCCGCCCGGCCGCGCTCTTCCTCCTGTCCGAGGTTTCCATTGTTGTGAGCATTTCTGTTGAGGATTGGCAGCGGGGGTGGGGTGGGGGGGTGTTTGGTTTTTATTCCCTCCCCCCCATCTGCTGGGTGGTTGCAGCAGGTTTTGGTCACTTCACATGACCCTGGGACACTGTGACCGTCATAAATATGAATCAGTTGCCAAGCAACAAGACCCTGGAGATGCTGCAACATCCCAGCTGATTGGTGCTTCCTCTGCACTCAGCAGAAGCG